TTTTTTTTTTTTTGGTACAGGAATCAAAGATTTTTACACTTTTTTAATGGTTAAAAAAATTGTCCTTGGGCCGGAGATATGGCTCAGTAGTTCGCCACCTGGCTCGCAAGCACAAGGGTCCAAGTTCGATCCCCGGTACCAAAAGAAAAAAAAATTGTTCTCAAGATATCAGAAAATAGAAAGCTATCTCTTGTTCTTGGATAGGAAGAACCAACATGATAAAAACGGCCATACTTCCAAGATTGTCATATAGATTTAATGCAATAACAATGAAAATCCTCACAGTATATATCACAGAATTAGAAAAACAATTCTAAAATTCATTTGGAACCAGAAGAGACCTAGAATAGCAAAGGCAATTCTAGGCAACAAAGACAAAGCAGGGAGAATCACAATCCCTGACTTTAAATTACACTACAAAGCTACAGTAACAAAAAAAACATGGCATTGCTAAAAGAAAAGACCTGAGGATCAATGGAAGAGACTAGAGGATGCAGAAACAACTCCAGACACACTCAACTATCCTATCTTTAACAAAGGAGCCAAATGCCTTCCCTGGAAGAAAAACTGCCCCTTTAACAAATGCTGCTGGAAAAAACTGGTTTTCCACATGCTAAAGATTGAAACTGGACCCATATCTTTCACCATGCACTAACCTAAAATCAAAATGGATCAAAGATCTAAATATTAAAACAGAAACACTAAATCTGCTGAAAGAGAAAACAGGTAGATCGATTGAGGACATAGGAGTAGGCAAACACTTCATGAACAAAACCCAGACACACAGGAAATACTACAAAGAATCAACAACTGGGATCTCATCCTATTAAAAAGCTTTTGCACAGCAAAAGAAACCACCAACAGAGCGAAGAGACAATCCACAGACTGGGAAAAAGTTTTTACCGGCTATTCAGATAAAGGACGATTATCTAGAATATATATAAAGAAATAAAAAAAAAATAAGTGGAGTTGGGCTGTTCATGCACCCCACCTAAATCTGCATCCGTCAGCACAGATGTTTCGTGGTGCTGGGGATCAAACCCGGGGCCTCACGTGTAGCAGGCGAGCTCTCTACCACTGAGTCGCACCTCCAGCTCCAGGACTGCTGTTTTTTGTGTGTGGTACTGGGGCTGAAGGCTGGTGCGCTCCACCTCCGAGCTACATCTCCAACTGCTTCTCTTCATTTATTCATTTTATTGAGACAGGGTCTCACCAAGTGGCCCAAGGTGGCCTTGAACTCATAATCCACCTGCCTCAGCCTCCAACGGAAATAAAGCAAACACTGCTCGTTCACAGAAGTCCCCACACGACCTCGGGGCCCCCGACCCCACAGAAATCACCAGCGCTTCGTTGGCCATCGTTGCTTCTTCTTTCATCTGCAGCAGCCTCCTCTCCAACTCGTCTCTCGTGGGCTCGGCCTCCTCCCGCATCTGCTTCTCTCGAGCCAGGCGTTGCCGCTCCATCTGGGGGTGAAGGAGAGCAGCACTGATGCACGCTGCTCCTAAGGCCCCTCCCCGAAACCCCGTCTGAGGGGCCTCCCGCCGAAGGCCCTTCCTTCTCTTTACTTTTGGCAGCTCGGGTCACTCCTACCGCCCACCACCCTGTCTTAAACCAGTCTCTTAAACAGGAGTGGGAAGCTGTGCTCCTTGGAGGAAATTCTAGGACTGAACAAATAAACAAATGAAGAACAAAACACCGAGTTCGGCATCCATGCAAAGTGAGCGGGCAGTGGGCTGGACTTGACCACAGGCCATAATTGGCAGACCTCGTATCCGGGGCCTTGTGTCAGATCGGCCTGAGGTCCAACCATTGCCCAGCTAGAGCGCCTGGAGCAAGCACCTTGATGACTATCCCAGGCCAGGTTTCCTCCTCTGTGAAATGGGGATAACACACTCCCACAGGCTGAGGGGTGGTGACCATGAGCAGCACTTGACGAGTGCTTACATAGCATGTGCTCAGCAAGCATCAGCTAATTGTGAACGTTAAGGTTGTCGCTGCTTCTTGACTATCAGTCAGGTATCGTGACGGAGCTAGGAACTCCACAGGAAGCACCAACATCCCTGTCCCTGTCTCCAGGAGAGCTCAGTCTGGCAGGAGGCAGCTAACTCATGAATAAGAACAGCTTCCTCCTTGGTTAATTCTCTCCCTCCCTCCCTCCCTCCCGCCATCCTCCCCCCCTGCATTTCACCACCTTTCACAATGAGCACAGGAAGTACAAGAAGAAGCGGGAGGAAGGGAGAGGGAGGAAGGAAGAGGAGGAAAAACAAAAAAAGAAGAGGAGGTGGTTTTAATAGGAAGCTAAGCCAGGCCCGGTGGCACACGCCTGTCATCCCAGCACTCAGAAGGCTGAGACAGGAGGATCGCTGTGAGTTCAAGGCCAGCCTGGACTACACAGCAATATCATGCCTCAAACAACAACAAAACAGGAAGCTAAACATTCTGCCTCAAATCTAACCCTCAACACCATACACCTAAATGTCTGACACCTGATGATGATCTGCAAACGGAGCAACTCAACTTTCAGGGACCCTAAGGCGAAGACAGGATTGCAGAGGCAGGGCGGAGGGTCCCCCGGCTCGGCTGCCCGTGTCTGCCCGTGTCCTTGCTCATCAGTTAGTTCCCCTGGCACTCGCCGGCCCCTGGCCTCACCCATCTCTTTGACCGGCAGGGAGCAGCTGAGGTGTCCTCCCCGAGAGCAAACGCCAGCGGGTTTGGCCAGAGCAGCTGGTCAGCCAGGCCCTGGCTTCCACTTCCTCAAAATGCCCAGCGCTGGAGATTCCAGCCCAGTCCGAGCTGCGCCCCCTGGGGGTCGGGATGCCCTCCCTCGGGGGTCGTCACGCCCCAGGAGGTGGGTGGGAGACCATCGGAGGCCAGAGTCAGAAACAGGGCCAGATTCGGCCAGCGGCGGGGCCCCCAGGAAGGGCGAACCCACAGAATGCGCCCCACGAGGAGCCCCACTTTCCGGGGAGGGAAACTGCAATCCGGACGCACCGAGACAGAATCGGAAGCCAGTGCCGGAACCGGAAGTCAGTGCCGGAACAGGAAAGCCGATTCTGAGCACTTCCACAACCATCAGAAAATGGCTGCAGCGAGGCTGACCTTTGGGCCCTAAGGAGACTCCAGCCTCCGGACTGTTCTATGACCTGAAGCCAGGAAAGGGCCGCCATCTCCCGAGTCCTGCCTCTGGCAACTGCCCCTCCCCGGTGACTCTTTGGTCCCATTCTCGGTGTCTGCATGGGCCACCATCTTGGCAGCCTCAGGGACCAGGGTCAGTCCCTTCCACACCCTGAGAACACAAATGAGGACCCATCCTCAGATGCCTCAGGAAGCTGACAAGATGAAGTACACAGTATACCCACTAAATAATGACTATAAAACGTAGTTACTAATCTGTAGCATGAAATTAACTTTGGTTCAAATATTTAAAGACCATGAATATTAGAAATGTTTAAGTTTCACAACTATCAAAATAAATAAAAATGCTCCTTTTACTAAAACGAAGCAATCAAAATGTTTTTACTTAAACAAAGCAATCAAAGCAATCAAAGAGGATGAAGGCCAAGATACCTAACAAGATATTTGAGAAGACTCGGGGTGGGGGAAGAATAGCTGACACACTTTTCATGCATCTGCTTCTGTTCCTCTAACATGGGACTACCTTCTAAAGGCTCGTTTTGGTCGGTTTTATGTTTTAAAACTCCAGCAGACATTAAATAATCCTCCCAAAGCCAGGGCAACAAGGTCAACATAAGCATTTTAAAAGCTACAGCCATGTTCATAGCAGCAAGATCCATAGTTGTTAAAACATGGAAGTAACCCAAGCATTCAAAGGTTGAAGGGAATAGTATTTAGCAATGAAAAGGAAAGAAGTCAGGACACACACTACAGTACAGGTGAACTTGAGGACGTGATGGTCAGTAAAAAAGCCAGACACAAAGGACACACTGCCAAGAGATCCCTACAGTTGTCAGATCCACAAAGACAGGAAATAGCACAGTGCAAACAACCAGGGGCTGGGGAGCTCATGTTCCACAGGGTCAAAATTCAGTCAGGAGAGCATATTATGTACATTCTGTAATAAAGATGCTGAGTTTAAAGCAGCATAAGGGCAAATGCTTTGCATGGTGGTGTGGGCCTGGAAGCACCTGGGAGGCTGAGGCAGGAGGGTCGCCATGAGTTCAAGGCCAGCCTGAGCTACATAGAAGACCCTGTCTCAAAAAATGAAAAAGCAAAAACAAAAAAAGCAGAACAAGGGCAGGGCTGAGCTGAACTCAACACACGGACAATTGCTCAAAAGGCAATCATTTCTTGAGTCCATGAACGGGCACCAGATGACACACAGGGGACCCCCGCACAGGAGATGTGGGTGGCAGACAGTAGGATCCAGGCCCCCACAGGGGTCCCTGTCACAGCAGTCCCTACGGCCCAGTGAGAAATGGAGAAATCAGCCTGGCTCTCAAAAATAAAAGATTTTTAAATTTCCATTAAAAAACTCCTTGGAACATCAGAGAGCAAGAGACTAAACTACAAATAATTCCAGTCTGGGTAATTTGACTGAAGCGGATACAGAAATAAATCCACACAGGAATGGCGCAAATTCTACCTCGACACAGCAAGCATTTCAAACGTCAACTTAAATTGACGTTTGTGCTGGCGAAAGAACTCCTTCATTATTTTTTTCTTATCTTTTTATTTTGTTTTTTCTGTGTTGTTTCATTTGTTTGTTTTCTGAGACAGGCCTCACTGTGTTGCTCAGGCTGATCTATTCCTGGGCCCGAGTGATCCTCCTGCCTCAGCCTCCTGACTATCTGGGGCCTATTATACACATCACCATGGAAGGCTAAGATTGTTCATTCTTTACCCTGGTGACTCTGCTAGAAGCAGCTCCACTATTTCTAAAGCAGAGTGGACAGCCTCACCACCACCATTAAAAACATTAGGATTTTTGCGTCTTGCATAGAGTTGGTACAAAGCCCAGCTCTGGTTTCATTAGCTGTGTGGCCTTGGGCAAGGTAAGTGACCTCTCTGTTCGCTAACAGGAGGATGACTGCACGCCCTCATCATACAGCAGACCCCATGTACAGTGTCATACCCTCCCCTCTCCATTAGCGAAAGCCATCCCATCTCCCACATTCCACTCTCCCGTAAGATCACCACTCCCTCCCAGCTCACAAATGTCCTGTTCTACAAAACTGTGGTCTTCACCCTCCTTTCTGTGTCCAGCTTCTTCTCCTTCTGCTTCTTCGCCATTGATCTGACCGCAGGTGAAAAGACCCTCCTTTCTCCTCCCCTCTCCTATCTTTTGTGACACAACCCTGAAGTCACCCACTCACTTTCTCCGACCTCTTCCTCCTCCCATTCACTAGTTTCTTCCCAGGGAATTTTACAATGTGTGAAAGAGGCCAATAAAGCAATAAACAAGCAATGAATATGTGCGCAACAACCTCCCTGGACAGGAAAACATTATCAAGCTGATGCTCAGAACAGTAATGCCCTGGGTGTGAAGAAAGACAGCAACAAAACTGGGTTGATGTCTGACACCTAGTACGGAAAGGAGAGGCGGAACCCCAGTCCTGAGCATCCCAGAGCCTTAGGGCCACTGAACAGGACCTCGTGTCAGCAGGCAAACGTCACACAGGAAAACTGCCGACAGATACAATTAGCAAAACCCACAATCCCGTGAAGGGAGGGCAGGGATAAGGGGAAAAAATGAGAACCAAGACCTGTCCTGTAAAGCTACAAGATCCCAATGATGAATGCAACTGCACTGTGTACCTAAAATGTACCAATAAACTAAAAAAAAAACACCCACAATCATAAAGAGCGAAACGGAAGATCAGTAAGAGCAAGCAGGAGATGGAGCTGTCTCAGAGGGGAAGGGGATGCAGAGATGGAGGGGGCGGAGGGGAGAGGAGGAGGGGAGAAAGGAATGAAGGTGGACAGCACCAGCTCCACGCGGAAACATGAATACCACGTGCTGCAAACAAGGACTCCCACACATCTGGAAAACCACTGAGGCACTAAAAGGTAACATGGACAGAGAGTGTGAGCAAGAGAAGAAAACTCAGGTGATGAACAAACACATTTTTTTTTTTAAGGTACAACACCGGAGAGCAACCAAAGCAGTGCAAATAGAAACCACCTCAACACCCGGGCTCCTCCCAGCCCCGAGTAAATTCTGAAAGACTCTGCAAACAGCACTCGAGGCTGCCCCAGATGTTCCTCCTCCGGTCCACCACTACGAGGAGCGGTGTGGGTACGACGTTTCCGGAAAGCCATGTGGCAATCGGGAGCCAGAGCCTCTGACCCAGAAACTTCATTTCTGGAAAACAGGCCTGAAGAAATAAATGCTAGATAAAGTTTGAACCCCAGAATGTCTTGATGGAAACTGGAAATGATCCAAACGCAATCCCAGAGAAGCTTAAAGACATTAACACACAACAGATCTCACACACAACAGTACTCACTGGAAGGAAGTGTGCCCAGAAAACTACAATCATCAAGGTTCCCTCTGGCCTAAGACAGATGTTTTGCTTTCTACGCAGTTCTTTTGCCAAATGTCTATCGTGGCCAATTTGACTTTTATGTTCAGACACAAAATAAATCCATGCTCTGCCACTCTCCTTCCTCAGACAAGAGGAACATAGGGACATTCGTTGTTTGGCACAGAAGATAACTAGTGATGGGCCCTGGGGTAAGACCTGACCCGGGACTTGTCTGTGTAAATAAAGTTTTATGGAGACCCCATCCTGTGCTTACACCTGCCCATGGCTGCTTGCCCACTGCAACAGCGGAGTTCACTACACAAGCCTCTCCCTATCCAAGGTTCCCCTTCCCATGATTTCACTCACCCACAGTCAACTGTGGTCTGAATATGCTTACTGGGAAAATGCCAGAAATAAACAAGATTTTACGGTGCACCGTGGCATGGCGCAAACTCGAGTCACCGTGCTGTGGCCCCCCGGGACAGGAATGCTGCCTTTGTCCAGCATCCCCAACCCTGCAGTCACTTAGTAGCCATCAGATTGAGAGTCACGGTGTCACTGTGTTTCTGCAGGGATCTTACGGGACGCTTTGTTACCGTACACGACTCGAAGTGGCTCATTGGTCATTGCTGCCGATCTCTCCTTGTGCCTACTTTATCAATTAAGCTTCACCATAGGTACGTGCACATCATATTGGGTTCAGTGTCATTTGTGGCCTCAGAGATTGTGAAACTGACCGTCCGAGGTGGTGCCTCCAGGGCCCCCAGCCCCTGGTCTGTAAGGACCCCCACACAGTGGGACGGGAGCTCTGGGGGACCAAGGCAGCTTTATCCAGATTGCTAGATGCTCCCCACTGCTCCCCATAGAAGAACCAACCCTGTCCTCTGCGTATTCAAGGGATCCAGGGCCACCGGTCCCACAGAATCATCTCGCAACCATCCCGCCACCCGACTCGTGGAGAAACTGTCCTGCACGAACCTGGCCCCCGGTGCCAAGGAGGTCAGGGACCGCTTCCTCCCGGATGAGGGGCCGCTGCGCTCCAGCCAAGAGCACTCGCCATCTGAGGCTCTGCGGAGCGTTGGCCGCCTGTCATGCGCGAACGCCCCCGGCCCCAGCCTCGCAGCCTCCATTCGGAAGGGCGAGGAGAAGCCGGGTGCCCACGTACCTTTCTGACAGTGTCTGTGCATCCAGCAGCGCTCGATGAACTGCCCGTGGAGGACCGTCGCGGGACAGCTGGTCTTGCCCTTCGTGGTGCCCGGGCAGATGTCCCCACATTCCTCGTTGTCATCTTTGTTCAGCACGATGTAATTGTCCTCCACGGAATCCAGGACGCGGGACCAGTCGATGGTGGCCAAGTAGCAGAGCTCCTTGCTCTTCTCGATGCGCACGGAGCCGCGCGTGATGTTCACGAGGCTGTACAGCCCCAGCTCCTTCAGGTGAACCATCTCAAAGATGACCAGCGCGTAGCTGAAGAAGAGGTGGGAGCCGCGGATGACCGTGAGGTTGGGGAACAGGTCCCTCAGGCTCTCGAGCCCGTAGACCCGAAAGAGCAGCAAGTAGTCGGTGATCGTGACGAGTTTGGGGAAACTGAGGTCTCGGAAGTCCTCCGGCTTCGTCTTGAACATCAAGAGTATCTGCAGGTGCCCCTCGATGATGGAACAGTTCTCCAGACTGTGCAGCCTGGGGAGGTTGTTGCGGATGTCCATGCCTGGGCACACAAGAAGTAAAAACAGGAGGAGAGCGAAGAGAGGTGAGCAGACACGCCCCGGCCGGGTGGTCCCTGCTCTGGGCCACGCGGAGTCAGATACTTCCTCCCCGACCTGATTTTGGGCCCAGCACCGGGACTACCGGGATAGTAAGGTGGTTCTATTTTCAGTCCTTCAAGAAGGTCCCGACAGCATCTGCTCACCCTAACCCTAACCCTCTTCTCACCTGCCTGGCTACCTTACTGCCTTCTTGGCCACAGACATCAGACCGAGGCTCCCTCGGTGGATCGATGGATAAAGGAAATTAGACGCGGACATTGGTAGGGGAGACGGATTCGGGCCCACGAGGGGTGGGATTCTGCCCCGCAGCAACACGGCGGATCACGGAGCACAGTACATTAAGGTGCAGGAAGGCGGATGCGGACGCTAAAAACAGGCTGTTTGCAGAGAAACCAAGCAGAGCGGTGGCTATCAGAGGCGGAGGAGGAGGAGGAGAGAGAAGCTGGCCGCGGGACAGAGTTACAGGCAGGTAGAAGGAACCAGTTCCAGTGCCCCGGCCTGTGTGGACAGCAAGCAGCATTGTGTGGTGTGAGAAACGATCGCATTACTCCGTGCACGCTTAGATGTTTCTGAAGTGTTTGACACTCACGAAAGAGGACTTCAGAGCCGCTTCAGAAAGGGCCAAGAATGATGGGACCAGTATGTTTCAAGCGAGGGAGAGGATTTCAAGAAGGACTCACGGCAGCGTGTGTTCTACTGTAATAATTCTGTGACTTCAACGGTCCCTAATCTTTCAATCACATCCCAACCCTCCAGGGCAGCTACGAGAGATATTTCTGACGCTCTCGCCACCGAGAAATCACACGTGTCCGAGGCGACGGGATCACATGTGTTGTCAACACATATGAAGTTTTCACACTGTCCGGCACAGCTACGTGCAACAACTCCACGCCCATTGTAATCACTGAAAGACAAATTTAGAAACAAAGGAGAAACAGGGACGGTGCCAGCCTCGTGGGTGTGAGCTCTGGGCGCTGAGTCCCGAAGCCTGCAGAGGCCCCGGTGAGAGGCTTTCCCCAGAGCACCCAGGCCTAAGTTTCTGCTTTCCAAAGGCCAAGGCAGGTGACTCCTCTGGCAGGCTCCGTGAAAGCCTCACAATCACCGCTCTGCTCTGACATAGCAGGGACAATAGGATTAAGCAGTGTTGAGCAACACAGCAGGCGCGGAAGGGGGAAAAGGCCACCGTGTGCCCGGCGCATCCACGAGGAAGACCTTCAGGAAATGGGCAGCGGGGACAGAGGCGCCCGCATCCGCCACGGGGCCGGGAAGGCTGGACGCGTTCGTGTTGTTACTGGCTGACTCGACTTTTCCGGCCTGACTTCCTGGCTCAAGATCAAGGCCTCATTACCTCTCACCTGGGTGGGGCAAGAGCTTTCCCAGGGAGTCTGATCTCGGTGCCCGCTGCACAAAAATCCTACAGGTTCCTCCTCATAAAGGGGGAGACTCCCAGGCTCCGACACCCGCTGTGGCTCCCCATGACCCTGTACTTCACTCTCACGGCCCTCAGGATCCCACCCCTGCCCTGAGCCCCACTGAACAGCCTGCCGATGGCTCTCGCCCAACTCCAAGACTCTGCGTCCCCTCTGTCACGTGTCCTGTGAGGGAAAAGAAATGAGCTCGGCCCACAGCTGACCTGTGCTGAGGCTCTGTCCGTGCTGGCCGTGCCGTTGCTGTTGATTTCCCCGCATGTCCACAGTCCTCTCTGAGCTGCTCTATCTTCCGCCTGGCAAAGCCCTTTGTCCCTTAGTTCCCTAAGTGCCACCCGTCAATCCCCATCCAGCTTAAATTCCTCCTCCTACGGGCAGCCTGCCCTGAGGACCATTCCTTCCTATCTGGGTCTTTCTCTTTGCCTTGTACCCCTTAAGTGTGAGTTAACACTTGGCAGAGTCTCCCTTGGCAGAGTCTCCCTATAGACACACACACACACACACACACACACACACACTCAGTACCCAGACTATAAGGCTCGGTACACAACCCCTGCTTGTTTTATTCCGAGACACTAGGCCTTCATCCAGTATCTCTGAGGCAAACCATCCACCCTGAGAATCACCCACAAAAGAAGCACAGATTAGAAAGAAACTGCAAAAGCAACCAATCGCTTGGGGAGAAGAAAGCCACCGTGTCCCTTGCTCACGGTCCCCGCAGAACAGATTAAGCCACACACTCGCTCTAGAGGAAGGAGGAGAGAAAGGCCCTGTCCCAGGCCCCTGGAAACGGCCACCTTCTCTGACATTTGCTATTCCTGGCCCGAACCCACCAGGGCCCCACAGAAGCCAACCCCAGCCTGGAAGGCAGATTCAGGGGACAGGGACACCGCTTCCAGCCCCAGTCACACCCACAGTGTCCACACAGCAGCAGCGACACTGCCCAAGGAGCTCCGTCCCTCCCTCCCCGCTGCAGATGAGAAAACATAAGCTCTGAGTACTGGTCTGAGACAGACCAGCAGGGACAGGCAGGGTGGCCA